GAAAAGAGCAGACCAGCGAGTTACAGAAGTATAAATCAAGAGGCAGCGTCCAGCCATTCATTCATTCCTGCGTAAGCCATGTGGAAGCGCTCCCATAGCGACTTGTGCGAGGTGGTCTGCAGTGAGCACGAGGACGAAGTGGGCGACAAGGAAGTTAGCCATAGCGATAGGGTAGCAGCGGCCATAGCCGCCATAGCTGTAGGTGTGTGCGGGTGTGTGCGGGTGTACAGGGTGTTGCGTGTGGGATATCCAGGGTGATCCGGTGTGTGAACAGCAGCGTTGTGTGAGTGAAGAACAGAGATTTGTATAGGCGCTGATGCGCCATAGCATCTGAAGTGAGATTGTATCTGAACTGTGTTCTTGATTACCATATCTCTGAGTTTTGAGTGGGCGCTGGTCGCCAGTTTGCTGCGCAACCTGTTAGCATGCATGTGAAGTGTGAATGAAAGCGAGTCTGATTGCATTACGGTCCTCCCGGACATCCGATGAAATTGCAAAGATACCGGGCATAGTCACACTAGACCTTTCTCGACTCCTCTGTGGATGTTATTGTGATCAGATACACACGCCACGAGCCGAAGTTGCTGTCAGACACATCCAGGAAAGTCGTAGTGTGAGTATGCCCACAGAGAAGATAGCACGGCCCACGAGGAAGCATGACACACATATATTGAGAAACGGTCCAGAGAATGTTCAAGGAAAAAGAAAAAAACAAAGAAAGGCCCAAAGATACGGCATGTGCTTACCTGAGGGCATACTCACACTAGCGCGCCCTCACACTTGCACATTCCGAAATGCATCCGACTGGAGTCACGACCAGACCTGGATGAATCTGAGATTCTGAACGCAATCACGTCCAGAGCTTAGCAGAAAAAGTTGTAATGTGAGAGCATACTCACACTCAGACATCTTCTACTGATCTCTGGGCATAACTGCCGTCAGATACACTGAGGAAAGGGCTAGTGTGAGTATGCCCTGAGTATGCCAATGAGCTAGAAACAGCACGCCCACCCAAACCCTCCGTCGTCAGCGTGTGCAGAACTCTCTCTCTCTCTCTCTCTCTCTCTCTCTCTCTCTCTCTCTCTCTCACACACACACACACACACACACACACACACACACACACACACACACAGGGGAGCATGGGATGTTTCTTTGATGAACGAATGCCTGTGGGTGGCCACAGGTTTATTTTGGGTTGGGATGTATGATACGAGTTTTGGCCACGCTATCTTTGCAAGGAGGCTCAGAGAGTGTCTGGTGCGGGTGTCATTCCCACAGGCTGCTCTTTCGGAGCACATGGAAGAAATGGGGGCTTCTAGGCTGTTTTAAGCAGTAGTGCTCCTGGTGTCGAGTGGAGATCTCGTGGAGTTTGGTATTATCGCAATCCATGCACTCCAAGGGTTGGACAGCAAAGTCAAGCCATGTAGTGATAGAGATGATGGTCGTTAAGCAGTAGTGCTCCTGGTGTGGCGTGGAGATCTCGTTCCTTCTCTTCTCTCCTCCTTCCTCCTCCCACTGCGTGGCGTGCGGCACACCGCCACACATTCTTTTTTGTTTGTATCAGGGTTGCATACCTGCCGACCGCCGACCCCGACCGCCGACCATTTTGCAGCCGGCCAGTAGGGACGACCGGTCGGCGGTCTGCCGACCAGTCAGAAAACAACCATCCACTGACTTTTTTTCAAATCCGGGTTGGGGGCTGTACTGCGCTTGCCGAGTACAGCCCAAATCTGCTGAGAAACTTTTGGGGATGGGGTGGGGTATGAGGGGGGTTGGGCGGCGGGTATAGGGGTG